CTTCAAGCACACCTATGAATCACATCAATGAGTTTTAGGTACCCAATTTACGTTGGGTCCTCGTGTGTTAGGTGTGTGATGGTAGTGTGCTTGATTTTGTGATAGATGCCTATGCCTAGTGTAACAAACGGGAGCAATATGGCCTATCCTATTGCAATAATGGCAAACTACGTTGGGGTTGTACATATGCCTAGGTTCATAATAGTTCGAAGGCTTAACCATTTTGTTCCTATTTTGTGAAAACGATGGTTTTTGGAAACTTTGAAACTGGCCTTTTCTAGGTGCTCTAGCATTATTTCTTCTAATTTGAGAAAATTCATTTTTATGCACAAAATCATTTTTCTTAGGTTGTCTACCATGACCATTTTCATTCCTAGGTTTTAGTCTAGGTTGTCTAGTGTCCTTGGATGACTAGGTTTTCTATTATCTTGATTTTTAGGTTTCTTATGTTGAACCTTAGATGATTGTCTAGGTGGTGGCTCAACACTATCTTTAGCTTTATTTTTATCAAAACCTATTCATTCCTTAGAAAAATGCATAGTGTCAAAAAGTAAATTTAAATCTTTGTGAGGAGTATTAAATTTCTTGACCGTGCTCTCAAGTTTAGCGACTTGCTCTTTTAAAGTTTTACAAGACCCACATTCACTTGATGAGCTTTCTGGTTTGTCAGCGCTTCTTTTTCCAAAAAAATTGTTTTCTTGTCTAAGTATTTCATTTTCTTTTTCCACTTTTTCAAAATCGTTTTCAAGTGAGGAAAGACGTTTCTTCAAAGACTTATTTGTTTTAGAAGCGCTAACAAATTCCTCATAAAGTTCATGAAGTGCTTCTTGCATTTCTTCAAAAGTATAGGAGTCGGAAGAAATGGTACAAACCTCTTGGACGTTGTCGTTTTGATCTTCGTGCGCCATGAGGCAGAGATTTGCAGCTTCGTCCTCCTCTAGGTCGGTTGATTCGTCGCCGGAATCGCCACCCCAAGAGATGTAAGCCCTTTGCTTCTTGAAGCCGGGCTTGTCCTTGTCGTGTTTGGCTTTTGGACACCTTGGCTTGATGTGACCAATCTCGCCACAGCCATAGCACTTGGGAGGACCGTCGTGCTTCCTTCCCTTCCGCTCAAATTCCTTCTTCATGAACTTGTGGAACTTCTTGATGACGAGTCCAAATTCGTTGTCGTCATCGCTTGAAACTTCTTCCACAGTCTCCTTGGTTGCTTTGAGTGTTATTCCTTTCTTCTTTTGTTCATCCAAAGACGGGGTTAGAATAGTAGATTCATAAGTTTAGAGATTACCTCTTAGCCCGTCGATGGTGACATTTGAAACTCCAATGGATTCATAGATTGCATCGGCTTTTGACCTCCATTCGGGTGTGAGACTCCGCAGGATTTTCCTCACGAGATCCTTGTTGGCGTAAGTCTTTTTGAGAGCATGAAGATCGTTGATGATCTTTGAGAACCGGTCGAACATGTCATCGATTTTCTCACCTTCTTTCATTCGGAACATTTCGTACTCTTGGGTGAGAAAATCGATCTTGGCTTCACGAACTTGATCGGTATCTTTGTACGTCACTTCAAGCTTGTCCCACATCTCCTTGGCGGATGTGCAGCAAGAGATTTTCCGGTAGTCATCAGGGTTAACCGCACAGTAAAGCATGTTGATAGCTTTTGCATAGTTTTCAACCTTCTTGATGTCCTCAGCATCAAACTCGTCCTCGGTTTTTGGAACCGTGGTTTCTCCTACTTTCTTCATTGGGATTTCCTCTCTGTTTTTGATGACCAACCATAATTGGAAGTTGGTGGAACGGATATAGATTCTCATCCGTTCCTTCCAATAGGAATAGTTGGTGCCATCAAAGAGTGGTGGCCTAGAAGTGGATTGACCTTCTCCAATTCCTGCATAGAGATTTCTAGAAGAAGAGGCCATGATCGCTTTACTCTCAAACGGTTAAGTTTGGACGCGAGTTAGGCTCTGATACCAATTGTTAGAATAAAAGACCAACGCTAGAGGGGGGG